CCAATAAAAATCCAACATGTTTTATTTTTAAAATATCTTATGATTTGTAGACCATTCTTATAACTTTGTGTAGGCGTTCCTTGTGATTTTTGTGTTGGCAATACTGCTCTTTGATTGGTGAATTTAAAGAGGTCTCTCCCTTCAGTTTCCCTTTCCACCCTCCTTTTCTGTCACAGGTCATCAGAGAATCATAGAGACAATGGAGAGTAGGGTGAGTCCATGACTATGGTTAAAGACTGGTCAGGATGACTAACTATTATCAGCCAGTGGTCTGAATGAGCTATCTACTGCCATCTGTTAATCAACTGTAGGAAAAGTCTTCAGGAGCAGACCTTATTTATATAGACAACTTACTTTGCCACAGAGATCAGTAGACACACTTGCTGTGTCAAGGTGATCAATTTTGGCTCTTTTGGGTTGAAATTCACTTAAGACTTGGAGCTGGGAGAATGAAATGTTATCCATATTGAATGATTAAAAGACCTGAACTTAATATGACCTGGCTTAGGGTTTACCATAACTTGAACACTAAGCAGAGGATAGTGAGTCACATCTAACTGAAAGTCACAGAAGATGGAAACATGTTTTATTTCTGGTGGTGTAGGGTCTATTTGGGAGTCCTCAATTATATCTGACACTTTACATCCAGTGTTTAAAGGCAGAGCTGACTAGAATCAATTGAGAGTCCTTGTATTGTTTTAGCGATCGCTTAAGCAAAAATCATGGATAAAATCTTGTCTAGACTGATCTTGGACTCAACATGCAGGCAATGTGTTGAAGAGCAGCGCAAAGGAGGCAATGGTGGTGAGGTACCATATTACCTAGTGAAATCATGGGTGCTGAAATCACTAAGGACTGGAATTTGACCACAGAACTGACACTTTCTTAACAAAGACTCAATTTTAGCTATTAAAAAAGTAAAACAGAAAACTGCAACGCCCTCTGGTAACATTTTAAAAATCAAACTTTAAACTTTATTGAAAAAATTGGATAGTTTTCAATTGAAAATATTTGACCTACACTTAAGGCAACTGATTTAATTTTGTGTACAATTTTGCATAATAAAGGCTGGCTTTTTTTTTGTAAATGTTCAACTACATTTTGATCAGATCTACTTCTTATGTGATATTTGTGTGGTTGTGGTTTGTTGTGTGGGTGCGTGGTTTATCTGTTTGCCGAGGGGGGCCGGCAAAGTGGTTCGAATTGGGCCCTGCACTTCCTAAAGCCAGCCCTGATGGGCAGAGTCTGCTCTGGCACCAGCCCCTATTCACAGTGGCCGAGGCTGGCTGTAGGCAGAGGCAGTTCCAGCAGCAGCTCCTGTCCACTGGGGGCCCCAGCTCTCTGCTGGGACCCACTGCAGACAAGGGCTGCTGGACCTGGTGTGAGCTGGGACTGAGCAAGCCTGGCTCAGGCCCGACTCGCACTGGCTTGGGATCGCTGTGGCTCTGCATTTCAAATCTAGTAAGTGCTGGGTGGCTCTTACTATGTTACGTTTAAAATGCAGAGCTGCAGCAGTCTTGGCTCTGTCCCAGCTTGCACCAGTTGAGGACCTACCCTCGCTGCAGCCCGGCAGTTTATATGTAGTAGAAGCTGGGCTGCTTGTGCCTTCGGCTCTTACTACATTTGAACTGCAAAGCCGCTGCAGGGGTAGCTCCTGGACTGGCACGAGCCGGTGCAGAGTGCCTTCCCTTATCAACTAACTGTGTATTTGATACATATTATATTGACTACACAATTAGTCAATTACCTGCCTCTTAACATCCTTAACATATGCATATGGATATAAATTAGTATGAGATGTTATTTTTCACAGCTATATTGAATTTGGTTACGGAAAAAAGTATGATGTTTCATGTAAAAGCACTGATATTTACATCATACAACTTATGAGGGTATACCATACCTGTTACATGTATAACTTGCAGAAGTTCTAGCTTGTTGATGAAAATCTGGAGAACTAAATGTATATCCCAGAGGTTTATGTAAATTAACACTTGGTTTAGTAAGAAAATCAGCAGTATCGGGAAATTCTACAGGTGATCGATTGACAAGAGACCCACTGGAGATAGACCCATGACTAGATGAACCTACAGAACATAGACTAGGGGAAGTACCTGCAAAAAACATATACGTTAATAGTTTACTGAACATTGCTTTAGAGCACATGAAAAATGTTTTAAAGATCAAAATGAAAAATATGAGAAAATTCTACACTTAAATTAAAACAAAACAGGTGAAAGACATAATAGAGATGTGTCAAAGTATTCAATACATTAAATATTAAAACTGTTTCCGTTTATATACAAGCAATGCAAAGTAGGCTATGCATATGAGTAACTTGGGAGCATGCTCTTGTTCTTGTCATTGCTTAAGCTTGTTCATATAAAAATTGTATATCAGCATCTGAAAAGGATTTGAACCTCATACATTTTCAGAAGAGATCTCATAGCTAAATATACGTAAAACTGCATATTTAGACAGCTTTTTTTAAATAGCTTGGTTTTAATGTATCTGTTTTAATACATTTTAATATTTTGAATTCATATTTTAAAAATATTCAGTTACATATAATATATTATGCTATCTATAATGTTACGAAGGAGGAAATCACTGCAATTGACACCATAAGAGGTAGAGGAGTCGATCCACACGCAACAAAGTTGCAGAAGCAGAGCTTAAGTTTATATGATGCTTTGGTTTTAGGAAAATGAAATGAGCCTAAAATCAGTGAATAAACTAGACAAACCCAGTCAGAAGAATGGATTTACAAATACACAATATATCTGAAAATAATTATATTTGTAATAAAAAAGTAGTTGTGTCCATAATGAAATTGTATACTTATTTTACATAAATTTAATAGCTTACAGAAATTATAGTAAAACCAGCGATGTATGAGTGGAACTTGCAGAACAACAACAAACTAAGGCTCTAATTTCATGTGGGCAAAGGGATCAATTCTAATTTCTGGTATAAGGAATACATATTATATATAAACTTGTCATTACAAAATTCAACACTTACTAAGCGTCTACATAGCAGCATTTGCTATTTCTGTTTTGTCATAGTCTACAAAGATCATTAAGATGTAAACGTCTTTCTTACTAAAATCTCTATTTATCAGGCTTAATCTCGCAACACATTCCATTACTTCACCAGGACTTCCCATGAATACATGCGTCTGCCTGCATGATACTTGTAGCATGATCAGGGCCTTGGACTGTAAGCTCCATGAATAGGTAGGAATAGTTTCTTAACTTAATATGTGTGTGTACAAGTCATAGTACTATGGGGACCATTTCTGAAATGAAGCCTCTAGGCACTGCTTTAATACAAATAAGAATGAAAAATTATGGCATATTACTTATTGCAGTATAGTAGCTTTTCAAAAAAATTCAGTGACAACCACAGTATACATCTTTGTAAACCCTGCAGGTTTGTATGCTAATACAGTAGCAGAGAGACTCTCTCCAGTTATACAGTATTGTATTTATGTTTGTATGGAAATCATGTTCAATATGTCCTCTGAATATTTTTAGAAGTACATTAGATTGACATTATTTTCAAGTGTGTGTGACATACTAATGCTAACTTACACTGATGTTATAATTTACAAAATATCAAAATTAATGTAATGTGTAGAATACCATAGACAAGAGGGTTTAATTTAAATCAAATTTGTCATAATCACAGCAAAATTCTGCAAGATGTTTAGAATAATGAACTGCTATCTTACCAGCTCGTCTGGGACCTATATGATGAGTCAATGTCACTGAAGATGATCTTTGTTTTGGTATTGTCAGTAGGTTTGTACTGAAAGGCCCATTTGGATGAGATCCTTGGCTAAAATAAAAAATAAGAAAAATATCAAGCATTCTCTTAATCTGCTTTGATTTCTCACAATCTATTCTGTTGTGAGGGAAGATGCATATGTAGATCAGCTTATTTTAGTTTCGTAACAGAAATCTAGACTCACTGTAGCAAAACAGGTAAGCTATAATAATGTCTTACACAGTAACATTAACCTTCAACAAGTGAACAAGATGACAAATTTGCGTAGAATATGCACTGGTTTTTATTATAAAGAACATAAAGCTTTAAGTATGACATCAGAATCTGACAGAACACCTAGGCAATTTTAAAGAGACAAAATAAAAGCTGTGGCAAGTAGGCTGAAGACAAATACTCAACTAGCAATACCTCGTACCTTTCCTTAGCATTGTTTAGAAAATGTATCTTACCTTCTCCAATAGTTGTTTTGAGCCCTGCTCCAAAATGCCACATACTCAAGTTTTTTAAAACAATGTTCTGACCTTAAAACATTTCCTCAGACTATCTAATTAAGAATGAATTAGAGAGACATATTAGGGCTATTGGGTGTTGTTTTGCTTTGCTTGTTTTATGGATAGCATAAAATCTATGCTGCCACAGATTAATGTCATAAGAATTGGTAATAAAGCAATGTTGAAGTATTTTAATTTAACTTTGGACTAATAAGAGATGGGCAAATCTTTTCAGTTCATTTTGTAGTTTGCTATTATTAAAAATGACCCTACTATTTTTCTCTCTCTTAATCTGAATTTCTGGCAGCTGATTAGTGGTGCTCCAGAGTGTGACTTGGAAGCCTATTTTTGGATGCTAGGAACAGGAAAAACCCTGAATGTAGTTCAACTATTTCAGCATTTATAAGACTACCATTCATATTTAGTACGGATGCAGGTGTTCAACTAGGATCATTATTACTGTATTTGTATTATCATAGACCAGGATCTTGTTGTGCTGGGGTATTATAAATGAATACAAAAAAATCATAGAATACTAGGACTGGAAAGGACCTCGAGAGGTCATCGAGTCCAGTCCCCTGCCCTCATGGCAAGACCAAATCCTCTCTAGACCATCCCTGATAGACATTTATCTAACCTATTCTTAAATATCTCCACAGATGGAGATTCCACAACCTCCCTGGGCAATTTATTCCAGTGTTTGACTACCCTGACAGTTAGGAACCTTTTCCTAATGTCCAACCTAAACCTCCCTTGCTGCAGTTTAAAGCCCATTGCTTCTTGTTCTATCCTCAGAGGCCAAGATGAACAAGTTTTCTCCCTCCTCCTTATGACACCCTTTTAGATACCTGAAAACTGCTATCATGTCCCCACTCAATCTTCTCTTTTCTAAACTAAACAAACCCAGTTCCTTCAGCCTTCCCTCATAGGTCATGTTCTCTAGATCTTTAATCATTCTTGTTGCTCTTCTCTGGATCCTCTCCAATTTCTCTACATCCTTCTTGAAATGCGGTGCCCAGAACTGAACACAATACTCCAACTGAGGCCTAACCAGTGCAGAGTAGAGCGGAAGAATGACTTCTCGTGTCTTGCTCACAACACACCTGTTAATGCATCCCAGAATCTTGTTTGCTTTCTTTGCAACAGCATCACACTGCTGATTCATATTCAGCTTGTGGTCCACTATGACCCCTAGATCCCTTTCTGCCGTACTCCTTTCCAGACAGTCGCTTCCCATTCTGTATGTATGAAACTGATTGTTCCTTCCTAAATGGAGCACTTTGCATTTGTCTTTATTAAACATTAAAGACAATTAATTGTGTAAACATAAACATTAAAGACCTCATTGTAGGAGGAGTAACGGTAGTTCGAATTAGGAGCTTTAATTCGAAACACCTAGCTCGTGCCACGTGTAGCCGCAGGGAGTTCGAACTACCGGGCATTTAAAAATGGCGGCGTCCGGGAACATGCAAATAAAGCCTGGGATATTTTAATCCTGGGCTTCATTTGCAAGTTTGAATGACTACATTAGCCACCCTAGTTCGAAGTAGGGTGACAGTATAGACATACCCTAAGTGTGACCCTTTCCACACTTATAAATTTTAAAAGCACAATTTTTTACTTTAGAACATAAGAACAGACATACTGAGTCAGACCAAAGGTCCATCTTGCCCAGTATCCTGTCTTCCAATAGTGGCCAATGCTAGATGCCAAAGGGGGAGTGAACAGAATAGGTAATCATCACATGATCCCTCTCCTGTCATCCATTTCCAGTTCTTGACAAACAGAGGCTACTTGAGGTACTTGTGGAGCTTGTGCCATTTTGGTTTGTATACCAAAGCTAGCCAGGTTTGAAGGCATCTCATGTGCAGCTGGGTATTGGGAAAGACAAAGGGGGAGGCTGCCATGTGTCCCAGTAGCTGGAGGCAGTCGCAAGCTGGGACCTGTGGGCTGATGCAAATAGTGTTTATGAGACTGCAGACTGTTCTGAATCTTTCCTGTGGCAGTGAGGCTCACCCAGTAGTGAAGTTGAGAAAGGATTTTTTGAGTAGGTGTTAATGTTGACTTGTTTCTGTTTATTTGTAGGCCCAATTTTTGGAAGCACTGCATCATCATTGATGTTGCATGAAGAGCGTGAGAATGGGTTGGAGACTTCAGAAGAAAATCATCCAGATGAGAGAAGATTATCAGGTCCTGCTCCCTGAAATATGCTGTTGATAGCAATCATTCTCAAGCGTAAATCTGAGGAAGCATCTATGTGCCGAGTGGACAGTAATGTGAAAATAAGCATCTTGAAGGTCGAGAGCCGAAAACAAATCTCCTAATGCCAGTGCTAGGATTATTG